TGTAATTTTGCTTGCAAATATAAACAAGTACAGAATAAAAATACTGATAAGAAAACTGCTCATAAAATTGTCACTGCTTTCTCTGAAACTATCATATATAATTTTGAGTAGATAACATACTTTTTATAGACACTAGAGCCTTCCTTCTGATAAGTATTCAACCATTCTTCACCTCCTGCCTTGTATTATAATTGTTTCTCATCTCTAATATAAGGCTGTAAATTCCATAAGGGGGTATATTATTCTCTTTGTATAATCCACAGTAGCTTGAGCTGTTCTTTATGGATTATAGGCATTGCATAAATATGTATGTGTGTCTGGATGAACAGATGGATGGATGGATGGATGGAGGGGTGGATAATTGAAAAATTACAGAAGTTGGTTGGTTTTATTGTATTTGGGGCTCATTTTCCCTCTAAAGAAATGCATTCATATGTCACTTGATAGTATAAACCACTAATAATTATGACTGCTAATTAAAAATAAAACAATCAAACAAAAATAATGTAACAAACACAAGAGCCTTTACCTGAAGCCACAAAGTGAATTAATAGATTTTTTCAATAAAAGCAGCAAAATAATGATGGATGCCTCTAAAATCTTGGACGTAGCTAAGTAACAACTGTCCCAACTAATTTGGACACTGAATTTCTATTTTCTTTTAATAAATATATTTTAAAGGATTTATCCAAGATTCATGTTAAAAAAGTCTAATGGACTATAATCATATACACTGTCAAATTAAGAGCTATGTAAGAGTTCAGATAATGCTTGACAAATGTTTTGCTTACACTATTGAAGTATTTGCAATACTTTCTGATTTAAGATTTTAGTTTTGACTTATTTTGACTTATAATCTTTAACTGTTAAGAATAGATTACCATCTTATTTAAGGATGTAATAAAGAAAATGTTCTAAATAAGTTTTGAGATCTTCTCCCATCCTATTTTGAATTTGAAAAGATTCTATCTTAAACGTTTTTATGTAAGATTCCTAAACAGTATAGTTTAATAGGGGATAGGAGATCATGAGGACTAAATTGACTATGTTATTGCATTCATGATTTATGAATATAAAAAGTGCTTTGTAAACTGTAAAGTGAAATATAAAAGCTGTTGTTTTTTAGCAGCATGATAATGCTGATCTCTGATATTTGAACTGCCTTTCTAATAATATAATAGCCTGTTTCTCTCTAGATGAAGTCTCATCATAACACAACTGAAGAACAAAATTATACACTTTTAAGACATACCACTGAGTAATCAGCTCCCTTCAAAAGGATGTTTTGGCTTAATAATGAAAACATCTTAATAACTGAAATTATTACCCACTGAGTTACTGTCACTATAATGTTCTAAAACAGACAAATTTCCTGGAATGAGAAATGCAGCCCTGCTAACTGAAATTACTTAAGGAAAATTTCTATAAAAACCATTCTTGATGTGAAAGTCATCATTTCTCCCCCCTCTCTCCTTCTTTTCTTTTTTCCTCTGCCCTCCCTTCCTCCATCCATCCTTCTCTCCTTCCTTCATTCCTTCTTTCTTCTTCCTTTTCCACCCCTTTCTTATAAGTATGTTTAAACTATAAGCATTAAGCATAAGAGGGATTTTCCATTTGCTCTCTTTCTACCTTAATACACTCAAGTAATAACATGTTATCCACCTCCTTAAAAAATTCAGTCAAGACTTGTTCAAGTTTGATTTTATATCCCAAGAAAAGTAGCAGAAGAGTGCTTCATGCTTAGTGTGTTTGCAATAAGGTTTGCTGTTGAAATGCCCTAAATTAAAGTCTTTTGCTCATTCATGTCTCCTACATTTATTCCAGAATTATGTTGAGTATATGTGAAGTTGGCTATTTTATTTTACAGTGCTAAAATATAACTCATACATGAATTGTGAGTTTGTTTAAAAAGAGAATTTAATGATTTTCCTCTAGTCTCCTATATTTGTTATAACTGATAAATAATGGTATGGTTTCTGCTCATTCAGTTGTTAATGTTTTCAAAACTTTTTATTATAATCCCCTTCTGATTGAAACACCAAAGTCTTCTCCTTTAGTAGTCAAGAAATGTCCTAGGACCTGAGTAAATATTTAAAAGGCATCTGATACCTATAGTAATACTTCCTCAAAAGTCTGTTTGATGCGGGTCCACACAAACGGCAGGTGTTCCTACAGAGTGTCTGTGACAGGGAGAAATGAGATACTAATTAGTTCATACTTGCACCAGGAGTGATAAATTCTGAAATGCCATCAATTATGTTTATCAAGATGTCCTAAATTATTCACTGATCAGTGCAGAGATACATAGACAAAGTTATTTGGAACTTATTAATATTGCTTGAAAATGCTACATTTTCTTAAACTGCTAGTTAAATATACTGGTTAACTTATTGTTTGAGGAAACAGAATATTAGCAGAATGCATTTGTTTCATGTTTCAAAAAATTATTTGGCCAGGATTGCTTTCTAAATAAAGATTATTTATAAAGGACATATGGTTCCAATTCCAAAGTCAAGATTATAATTCTGCATGTTTTTATTTCAAAACGAAATTCCATATGTTTAATCTCTAATTGAGGGTATAGATATAAATGTTTTTATAGATAGTTGCCATGTCCACTCCTTCATCTGTATGCGTATGTGAGCGTGTATGTGTGTTCATGTCTGTGTGTGTGTGTGTAGATGGATAAGTAGATATTCTATCATGTGTATACATGTGAGGACCTATTACTTTGGCTGTGAAAATATTGCTTCTGGAGTTTTAAAAAATAAAAGTATTCACTTATGATGTAAGAGTAAGTTACAAATCAAGATAATAAATCATAGCTACTTTATGATTACATCTCTATAAACAACAGCAATAAAGCTATGCAGAAAAAAAAAAAGAATTACATAAAGATGTTCCTATTAGTTACTTGTGGTTAGAGGACTATGAGTAAGTCTTTAATTTCTTCTTTCAGTTTAAAATATATTTCCATAATAAAAAATCAATTGCACATTAAATGAAAAGGGTTTTCCTCAGAGAGAATTTATTTCAAAAATAATTTTCTCTTATATCAAGATAGGGGCCTTTTGTAAGTACATATAATTTCCCTTAATTTTTTTTTTTAATCTAGTAGTAAAAAAAAAATCATAAATATTGGATCATTAGTACCCCATAGAAAATTTGTATTTTCTTTTTTTTTTTTAACATCTTTATTGGAGTATAATTGCTTTACAGTGGTGTGTTAGTTTCTGCTTTACAACAAAATGAATCAGTTATATATATACATATGTTCCCATATCTCTTCCCTCTTGCGTCTCCCTTCCACCCACCCTCCCTATCCCACGAAAATTTGTATTTTAAACCAAGGGCATTTAAGAAGACATATGAAAAGTCTCACTTCAAATACTTTTTTTGTTCATTCTTTTTAAATCATGGATATGACTAAGATTTAACAAAAAAGGAATATAAACAGCTCATTACCAGGTCTAAAAAGTTTTTTCCCCCCAATCAAGCTAACCTTAATTTTAAACTTATTGCTGTGATTAGACGGTTTCTACTTTTAAAACTCTGTACAGATTGGCCAGATGTAGGCTCTTCCATTTGTATACTTTACTAACAGAAATTTCAAACTGTATTTTCAAAAAGTGATCTGCATGGTTTTAACTGAGCCTAGTGGGATGAACAGATTTTCTTAAGTAAAAAAATCTCCATCTTCATCAAATTTGTTATCAGTTTGCTCTCTAATTCTTTGATAATACACTGATCTGCTTAACTTAAGTAGATACTAGGAGGAAGACAGGAATTTTTATTAACTATTTGAATTCTCAAAATTACTGTGTGTTTTAAATGTCTAAGAGCACAATCTATTAATATATTCGAGTGTGTTTGAAATGCTACGTTTTAGTGGTTGTTGTTCTTTGGTTTTTACCACTGAATGCTCTTTGGTTCCTCTCTGTCAGTGCCTTTTCACAATGTTTGGATTTGGTTGTATTAAAAATATCTAAGTATTATAAAGGACAAGAGTGGGTATCAGAGAATATGGATTATAATTCTGATATGCTACTAAATAGCTGTCATCTTGGAGAAATAAACTCTCTGTGCTTAAATTTCATGTTATTTATGAAAACAGAAAATCAACCAGATATTATCATTTTATTCATAATAAAAGAAATATTGTATTTTACTTTACAATATCAACTCATCTATCCTTAAGGAGTTTCAGTAAAAGCAGACTTTCTCTAAGTAATAACCAAGATATTCTGTGGGGAAATGGGGAATTTTACCACATAAAGAACAATGGCCAAAGTCATATTTGAACTATTCTCAATCATGGGGGTTATATTTATCAATTTATTTTATCATTAATTATATTTTTGAAAATTTTGTAAGGACTGCTGCCTATTGCTCATTCATTTGCATTCATTCATTTGACCTTCATTAATAAATTCATTACAGAAAACTTGACACTCTGTAGAATACAATTCTTGATTCCTTGGCTTTCTGTCTAGTCATTTTCTTATGGTCCCCTTTTGTATTAGAAATACTTAGTGTATTTAACCCAGCATTCTAGATACCCTGACCCTCAGATGAGATCATTACCCAAGGGCCTGAGATAATAGCTACTCCAGTCCCCTTATAGTCAGCCCCCCCGCCCCTCAGCAGAGTGTCAAGTTCCTCTGTATAGGTTTTTTTAAAAAGTGTATGTAAAAGTGATAAAGCAACATTTAAATTTAAATCAGCAAACATGCTATATGTTTCATGCCTATTTTGTTTTTTAATACAACACACAAAGCCGTTTGCATGTATTAACATTATAGAGTTTAAAATTAAAATGTAAAATCTCACAGCACTTTAAAAGAAGTCCCTGCTCTCAGTTTATATCATTATCACATAAGTTTCTTGAATTCATTTTTATTTAGATCCTTTCAGATTGTTTCAATATATCATTGACTAGGTTGTCATTGTTACAGTTTTGCAGAGGATTTATGCTAATCACTGTGTTTTTCCTCCGACAGCTCTTTCAAGCATTTGATTGGAGGACTGGATGATGTTTCTAATAAAGCATATGAAGATGCAGAAGCTAAAGCGAAGTAAGTGAAATTTTGGGGGGGTCTTAATTTTGATTTTCAAAAAACAATTCTGAATAGAAATGAGATCAAATCTTTTGTTGGACTTAAAGCTCTACACTCTGACAGGAAGAAAGTAGCTACTTAAGAGTAAAAATAAGCAAGCTACTCAAGGTAATTATTACATAGTATACTTGCTTAGTAAGTACCTCTCTCCTTGAACACGAAACCTTAATTTTGTGAGGAAGATCATCTGGACAAGGGAAAATGGTTAGTTTAAAATCCAGTAAAACAATTGAATGTTAACACATTATTTCTTCCACTGAAAACACTTTCTGAATGAATTGCGGCTGTGTTCACCAGTTGCTTGTGAAATTGTATGAAAAATAATAACGCTGGAAATATTTTCTCGTGAACACACCGTTGCTTTACATTGAACTTTGTCGATGAAAATTAATGAGTGGATCTAAAAAAGAAATGGAAAATTTTATTGAAGTCAAATTTGAGGATTATAACCTGGGAAGAGCAGCTCAGAAAGCTCTGAGAACTGTTCTGCTTATTAGAAGTCAAGGCACAGTTAAACAAGTTATTTGAGACAGAGGGCTGTACATCAAATGATGTATTATTGACATAATCCAGATCTAAGTGTCATATGACCCCTTATGAGTTCAAGCAGGAAAGTTATCATTAAGGAGTTGTCTTATTGACTCTAGGAGAATGTTGCTCTTTTTGGTTCAGCAGGTATTTCTGCCTATGGGGAAGGTTTGGTCGATGCATAATACAGATACACAAGGCACAGTGAGGGGAGAGAGGAGGCCAAAGGGCAGAGTAAAATTTTTGTTTGAATTTTCTTGTCTTGCCATAAAATGAATTTTAGTTCACAACTTCAATGACACTAAGTTATCATAATGATATGAGATAGTACATATGCCATTGTCATTTTTGTATAACAAAGTACATTTTTATCTACTAGAATAATTTACTTTAAAACAAAGCTTTAAATTTTTTTTAAACAAAAAATGTGAAGTAATTTGAGATTGGCTTTTTCTGCAAAATTGTTAGGTTACTTTTTTTTAAAAGTGTAATCTATATAATTCTCCTCTTTCTCCCAAGAAAGTAACTTAAGTAAAACCAATTTAGTATTTGATATCATACAGGATATCTGGAGGATTAAATCAACAAATATCATTAAGTAGATAGTGCAGGGGAAGAATCTGATTGGTTGGTTGATCTTGTAGTCACCTAAAAAGCAAAAGGAATAAAATAATTTCTTTTGCCTTGAGAACCTATGAAGATTAAAAATTTGGGCTAGAACTAATTGACTAATTACTATTATTCATTTTGACTGATAAAATTGTATTGTTTTCAAAGCTGTATAAAGATATCCACATTTTCTTCTCTATATAGTTTGCTTTTGTTTCCTCTGTTCCTTTGAGGGACATAGACTTACATCCTGTAGTCAAATGCCAGCAATGCCTCTGCTAAGATTCGCTGAGGAAATTACACAAAGCCAGTTTTAACATCAAACTCCACACAGTCCTCAGTATTGCCTGTGCTGTGGCTGATTGGTATTAATTTTCTGGTTTTCTACATTAGGTTAAAATACATATTAATGCTAAGTTTAGACTTTAGTTTCTGGTAGTCACACTAGTCATCCTGAGATGGTAGAGGGGGGCCATTTAAGGTACCTTATCAGTTTTAAAAGTTATAACACTTTTTTATTATTGGACATTATCCCTAGAGGAACGTTTTCTTGCAATATAAAAGCTCATATTTATAATTTATGGCAGCAAAGTTTTTCTTGAGTTTATATATTCAATTAAGGTTACTATGGGTCATTTTATATATATTTATTTATATTTGTATATATACATATACACACACACCACTTTATATAAATGTGTATTTATATATACAATTAGTGCTAATCTTTAAAATTTGTCTAGAATCTACCTGAGCAACTATTTAAATATTTGTAGAGTTACTGGAAAAGTCAAAGGTCTTTTAAACTAAAATATTCTTTGATCTATTTCTGTTTCTCTGTTAAACTTTAGACAGATTCTCTAATGAAAGTTTTCGTATAACTCCTATTTACTCTACCCAAAGTCGAGGCCAGTCACTGGCTTAAAATTGAGCAGTGGCAGGAAAGCAATTATGAATGAGTTGTATCCTTCTCAGTGTACTGTTGGCCTTACAAAGGTTAAACTGTGTGTGTATCTCATGAATTCTGGGCATTTATGGGTTCACTTGCACATGCTTCAACTAAAGGTAGGAAGTAAAACAAATACACTGAAATTCAGATTCAGACAATTTAGAAGATAGGTGTGGCAACAGTTCTTCACATTGGAAGAGAATCCATCAGTATGGAAAACATGACTCTGAATGAGGACCAGAAGCCTCGAGTTCTGTTCCGGGCTCTGTCATTTCCAACCAAGTGATTTTGGTCATGTCTTAACAGCTGTCTCTCAGTATCATTATCTTATCTATGAAATATTATTTTTGTGATTTAATTAATGGTGATATGTAAAAATACTTGGTAAATTATAAAGGGCTACAAAAGTGGATGGTGTTGTTTGTAGAAGTAATCATTGGAAATATACCCTAATGCATTTGCTAGATGGTTTGATTTATACACAATTATTGCACATGTATTACGTAAACTAATTTTATCTGGGCAAGGAGTCTTTAATCTTATGTAGGCAAACTAGCCTCAATTTAGTAGAGTGTTGTAAAATTAAACCTAGACTGGAAAATATCCATAAATATCAATTTTGTAAAAATAGAAACATTTAGTTAAAAGAAAGTTCAATTATGATTAAAGAACAAAATGGGCAATGAAGTGATGACCTACATCTAAGTATTGTTATTTGAACTATTAAATTTAATAGATTACAAATTAGCCATTATATTTATACTTGAATATAAATCAACTAGGATAAATTAGTTTGAATTTTTCTATTCAATTAATACTAAATCCAAATGAGTACATAACCCGCATACCTTAATATTGATTATTATTTAGAAAATGGGAATTACTTGATAAAAAAAAAAGTCTAGGATCATTGATCTAAATTCCAGAGAGGCTGATAATGTAAACTTTATTCCTCAAAATAGCTAAATAAATAAGTAAATACTGGAGCAGGTGTTGTGATGCTTTTTACACTGTTAGCATTTTATAGCTTTCTAATAAATAATTAACATCTGAAGATTTCTGAAGTTGAAAGCATCTTTTTAATTAGGTATCCTATCACCCAGAGTAGGTAAACTGTAAACTATTCCCCAGGGAAAACTTTTTAGTTGAACTAACACATTTAAACATCTGTTTGTGTTAGCACTCTTTTGTCTGTGTTGGATTTCTTCCCCTTAAGTACATTATGCCTTCACTTTGTATTTAAGGAACTTATAAGGTTTGCCAACATTGCAGGAAATCCAGGTACGGGCTCTAATCTAAATTCCCTGGGTAATTTTGTTAATGCCTCTAAATTTCTATACAGATCGCAAATTCTGTACCATTTAGAATTGAGGTGATGATTTGGCTCCACTGTGTGAGCTTAATTTTTCAAAGTCCCCTTGATTTTGCAAAATCCACTAAAGATAAGATTAATATTTTTTAAAACCCAACTAAAATGATCATATTATTTATGCGTGTGAAGTTATTGTTGGTATTGCCTCATTGACTATGCCTATTTGCGGTGAAAAGAAAAAAAGTAGGACTGACTGTAAAAATCAATTCAGTTGAGACTTTTAGAAACTCAGTCATAAGAAACTTATTAGCTATTAGCACAATCAGGCTTCAATGGCAGAAAACAGCCGATCCCTTTGAGAGAAACCATACCAAGCATTCAGTTTGGATGGCTGGTCCAAGAAGATTGACTTGAAAGAAATATCCCAGTGAAATGGTTCTCAAAACTGCTCTGCTGCAGGATATGTGCCCTTAGCTTGTCTCACGAGATATATTTCCTACAAAGAAAACTATTCGTGATGGAAACTTAACCTTTATGACATGTTTAAGCTTCTCTTGATTGCTGCTAATTATCCACTAAGGACTTCTCTTTTTAAAATATGAAGTTATAACCACAAAGACATTAGAAGAGACAAACTTAGATGGAAGGTAAGGCTCATTAAACCTTATTTAGAGCAGAAAGTAGCATATATGATGAAACGTACATATTATTTTCCTTAGAGACTATGTATTCATTCATTTAATAAATATTTAGAAATTTACTCATGATGAGTCAGGCATTGTATTTTACAGTGTGCATAACAAATAGAAAACATATTTTCTCATAGTAAGGATCTTGCAGTTTAGTAGGGAGCCTGATGTGTAATTCCATGATTATTTTCAATATTTATTTCTAAGAATAAATTATGATACTTAGTATGATAAAGTACTGTTTTGGTAGAGAGACCTATCTCCGTATTTACACCTTGTCTTGTAAAAAAAATAATAATAATAACCATCCAGAAAATCAAATAGAAAAATGTAGATGTTCTATTTCATTCTAAGTATTTCTGATATATGAATACAGAGTACTTCTTAAATGAAATATTTTCAAGTTATAGTATCATTTCATTCTTATTGTTGAATATTGTACTCAGCAGTTATAAGCAAAACATCTCTTTTTCTGAATAAAGAACCTATATATATTAGCAAGTTAAGTTGAAATATACTATATTTATATTTATTATAATCATAGGAATTTTTAATATAAAGGTGGCTCTCCAATAAGGTGATTTACATATACCACAGCTATACTCCGAGATTAAGGTCATATAGAGTGGAAAAACAAAACAACAAATTAGAGTCAGTGTTTTATTTATAATGATGTTTATTTTTAATTAAAACGTTTTATATTTTCACTTTAATAGAAGTAGTACAGTGATATAGATTAAAAAAATAAAAATCACAGTCTAAACAAATCAAGTACAACTGCTATTAACTATCTTTGTGTTTTAAAATTATACTTATAGTCATTTACAACTTGATATCCTGCTTTTTTCAGTTTAGCACCCATCATATTATA